CCACCTATGGAGGCATAAGGGAAGCATGCTGCCAAATTCATTCAAGCACACCCCAATCTAACAAAAAACCAAACTCACTGCTGCAATGGGTCGATTCCGACTCATAGCGACAATACAGGACAGAGTAGAACTGCACCCGTGGGTTTCCCAGACGGTAACTCTTTAAGGAGGTAGAAAGCCTCATCTTTCTCCAGCAGAGCTGCTAGGTGGTTTCAGACTGCTGACCTTGCACTGAGCAGCCCAAGACTAAGCCACTGCACCACCAGGGCTGCTGTTCATTCAATCAAGCCTAAAAAGCGCACCGAATTCTGACATGAAATAGACCAAGACTATGACACCAGGACTTCCATAAACTTTGGAGGGCACCTGTTGTGGGTCCTCTGTCCCTAGCATCTCCTATTGCTTGGCTCTCTGCCCTTCCCCCATATTAGGGGTGGGGGGGTGTGTGTCACTTGTCCAGCACTTGCACAAGGCACTTTGACCCTGGCCCACTCGGCAAGTTTTCCTCCGGAGAATTGAAACAGCCTTGGAAGACAGCCCTGTGCGAGGGCCAATGGAAGCATCAATGCTCCGGCTGTCCTCTCACGAGAGCTTCTCCGGCTCTAGGCAGCTAAGAGGAGGCCACATTTCGCAGCAGGGGCGCAGAGCCAGGGTCCCTCCAAGTCGCACCAGATTACAGCCTTTGTAGGGGGCAAAGGGGAAGACTGGAAGACGTGAGCAAGCAGGGCAGTCGAATGAAGCCCCAACTCAGCAAACTCGGCCGCGCAAGCGCGTCGCCAGCGGCACGTCTCCAGCGGTCGCCACACGACGCCTGCGCAGAGTTGCAGGGGAGGGGGTGGGGAGTGGGATGGCGAGCAGCCCTTCGCCCAGCTATCCCACCGCCTCAGAGCCCCCCGGTTTGCAAGCCCCGCCTCCTCCAGCTGCTCGCTTCCCAAACAACCCGGTGCGCCGTCGGCGCTCTCCTCCGATTGGCCCTTGTTGTTTTCCGTTTCCGCCCAGCCCTCCGCTCTCCACCAATCAGCTGGTGCGCTTGGCAAAGTGCAGCCTCCGAGGCCGCCGTTCCAGCCCCACTGCCTCCTCG